TCGCCTCCACCAAGGCCTTCACTTCGCAAGTTATGGTCTTGACCCTCTTGGCTCTGCGTTTAGCTATGTGCCGGAAGACAATTGATGCTGAGTATTTTGATACTCTATGCGATCAGCTATCTGAGTTCCCTAAGACCATCGAGAAGGTTCTGAAGCTCAATGGCAAGGTCAAGGACCTCTCTAGGTTCTTCCGTTTGGCTCAGAACTTCCTCTTCTTAGGCCGTGGTATCCACTATCCCGTCGCCTTGGAAGGTGCTCTAAAGTTGAAGGAGATATCTTACATTCATGCTGAGGGGTATCCTGCTGCTGAGATGAAACATGGTCCCATCGCTTTGATTGATCGTTTAATGCCTGTTGTCTGCATCGCTCCTAAGAGTGATCCGACGTATGATAAGGTTAAGGCGAACATCGAGGAAGTAAAAGCCCGTAATGGTGATCTCGTCATTCTTACCGAGGAGGGAAACTATGACTTGGATAAGTTTGCTGGCGACAAGGACTTCATCATCCGCATGCCGATTGTTGATATTGTGTTGCAGCCTATTGTTTTCACCATACCGTTGCAAATGCTTTCTTATTATGTTGCCGATCTTCGTGGATGTTCTATTGACCAACCCAAGAATCTTGCTAAGTCTGTTACTGTCGAATAAATGCAAGGATTGCATCGATTCGGATCGCTCGCGCTCGTAAAAAGCAAAGCGATTTCTGTCCGTGTTGTCACTCTGTTTATTAGCATGAACTTCTTATACTACTAAGGTCAAGTTCATGCCATGCTATTGCGCTATTTCTGATTGCAAGTTGTCGTATCCTGATGTATTCATATTTCACAACTGTTATCTAGCCTGCGTCTTGTTCTATCTTTTTCTCACTAATTTGTTGTTGTGCTTGAACAGTGGTTATAGAGTATGATCCCATGGTTCTCATGTTCTATGGTGCCATTATGGGATGACGGGACTCCCACAGGTCAACCCTATGAGACCCACCCAACATGGGCAGTTTTTAAGTTTCCCACCCAGCGATCGACACACACCCCTCAGCTGACAGTCCTTGAATAGTCCTAACACTAAGCACATCCAACCGTTACTCACTCAATGGAAACCGTAGGTATCAGAAACCGTAATAGGTGTCACCGTGATTGCCATCCAAAAAATGATATTAGCTTCTCTAGGAAGGTCTCTGCTTCCGTTTGCTCTAATACTTCCTCCTCCTCGGGGAGCTCCCCATCCCACTCCGACTCTCGTATTGGATCAATCCCTAGGCTCTTACCAGTGTTCAGCATCTCAAACGAGTGGAGCGGCTCATCGTCCTGACGATACTTCAATTCTAATGGGTGCTGCTCGATGATGGATGGTCGAGGGGGGACCACCGGGGTAGGATCCCAGCTGACCGGAGTGAACAATTCGTATCAAGTTCAGCCGTGCCCCGACCAGTTTTTCATGCTCCTCAAGAACTAGTTTAACCGGTTTTCACACTGTAGTCGGAGACCATTACATTTCTCGTATACTCTCGTGAATGTAGTCATACTCCCCATCTGGGTTAGAAATGATCCTGATGATACCACCAAGGGACATCGCAGCAAGAATGGCATTGAAAGGGAGAAGTCTCCAAAATCGATCACCTGATCGATTACAGTCCGCTAACTTCTCAGACACTCAGCATGCAGCACTACCTTCTCCTCCTACGATTGCGTAAGTAGTCTGCGATGGGTATCTCCGCTGTGAGCAAAGCCGAGGACTCTTGGAATTGATTGTGCGGAACATGATGAAAGAAACTCAAACACCACTGACGCAAGTGCTGGAGATCACAAAGTCCAGGACACTGGAACGATCGTTAGGAGGTAGCGATGCAACACAGCCTCCGACTAGTGCTCTCAATCAACAACGACCCTTCCTTAATCGATGTCGTTCCGAGCTATTGTCACACATTCAGATCCCACCGGCTCGTGAGTAGATCCGAAGCATACTTCTCACTTTGTCGACTTCATGCGAAGAATCCTCTCCACAAGCTTCCGAGTATAACCAACGCTGTGCACATCGTCAAAAACTCGAAAATAACATGATGATTCGTCTGGTATTCACTCAGCAGTGACACGGGATCAATAATAACGATTAGCGTCTTCAAATCGAGACTCCTTGGGTGCAAACCTAAGCGAACGACTCCAGGTACACCACCATCACTCGAATGAACGCCAAATTCTCTGTGAACATATGAATAGAGCAGTACCAACAATACTGATGAAATACCTCTCCGAGAGACAGTCATAACAAGCCGACATAAGCTCGCTTTCTTGTCTCCTACGGTTTTCACCCAACTCCAGTAGAAGTCAGTGAAATGTCTCAACCTGGTCACGCATGGAGTTTCAATTTGAGACTCGCGTGACAAAGTCGAGTTACGAAACTCTCCGACCAGAACCTTCCCCGCATATTACAAAGTTTTCAACAACCTTCGTGTGACCGGCAACTCGTCAGGATTCAATATTACAAAAAATAGCATTCCAACACTTGTCAACCCAATCATACTCCCGAACACCGAGAATCTTTCGCGATCTGAGAGACCAGCCTTTCGACCATCGCAATAGACCTCCAAAGGAACGTGATTTGCGCACAGCGAAGATTCCCACGTTTTTCTGACTCAGAACTTCTGACCACCACCTCAATAACTTTCTGATACGTGAAAGCGCGAGAATTTGGTCCGTTCACGATATGGAAGCCCGAGGCTGAGGCGAAAGATCCCGCGCTCTCAACACGGCATCACTCCAATGTTTGTCAATACACTTACTACGTGCAACGACGAACATTGGAGTCAATACGATATGATCTCATTATAAGACTCCTATGTTAAGCTGAACATCTCGAAGATCCCAATTGAACTAAAATCGCCTCCGGATGATGACAGCGAACTGAGTGATTCTTTTATTACACGTAACCCTCCTCCCCTCCCTAGTTGACAGCGTAGACCTTCTGGGGTTCTCAAAATACGTCCAAGTCAGCCGAACGGGAGGGCGCCGGAACATATACACACTTACAGAAATCTGCCATCGGAAAATACCAGATTTTTCCTAGACACAGTCTTCACCAAACACCGGTAATGTCATCACTGAAACATTGTAACATTAAAAGCTTCGCTCCGCTAATATCCTCTGCCCTCAATTAGTGCCTTCTCTTTCCTCGCCCTCCGTCCGCTCATGAAACCCGTAAAGAGGATAATTCCAACTCCAACAGGATACACCCATCTCCACGCTGCCGGTGAACGATCTTCAATAGTGGGACCACCAGTCGGATTAGCCCACGCTGAGATCACAGAGCTGTACAGTAGACGAGTTTCGGATATACTCTCAGCATTAAAATCAACGTGCTAAAGCCCATCCTGAAAGCGGTTTCGAAACTCCATAGAAGCCTGGCGAACAGCGGGAAACTTCTCAGAAATCGACTCTGCAAGTGACAGTTCCTCTCGGCGACAAACCCCTTCTCGGCTCAGCTCTGATGATTGCGAATAATTCAATTCCGTCCAAGAACGCCTTGTGTGATTACGAACAGAAGAAATTCGATTCCCATTTGAGCAGCGCCCACTTGATACTAACGAATTACGGAAGATATTACTGATAGGATTTCCAACGTCCTTGGAAGTGTTCTCCTTCTGTTCCCCTTCGCTCTTCTTTTCTTCACCTTTTCCTTCACTGCAGAATCCCCGTACCGCCGCGAGCCGACGGATCGCCTGCCTTGTCAGTACGCCTCTCGACACTGGACGGATGGCGACGAACATTGGTCGGGAAAACTAAGAAAAATAGAAAGAAAAAATCACTCTCATTTCCAGGAGATTGATCAGTAGTGCCTGCCAGTGAAACGAGGACGATACCCCTACACAGTGTGGGAAAATGTGCACGCGCCTTGGTGACCATGAAAAAATTCAGCAGAAATTTTGGTGAATTCTCGCGAGTTCATGTTCACCCATACCCTGTGTAAATGCTCCTAATGTAACGACGTAGCATCCCAACAATGCATCTACATATGACAGACTCCTCAACTGAGACTTCTTCATCATTAAACTCTCTCCCTATCCAATTGAGTATATCACTCGACACAATAATCAATTCTACAACATGACGATTCAATGGTCACAGCTCCTCGTGGATTACATGGACCCTCAGGCTGCTGCGGAGACTAACCTAAAAGAGGCACTCATAACGTAGTTACTCCAGCACGCGTGAACCAACTTTCCTATGCTTTCCTATTCTCCCTCGCCCGCCTTACCAGCTCGACCAGAGGGCTCCTTTCCTATTAAACTGTTAGAGCTGTTCATACTGTGTCGATTCGTCGACTTGCACAGAAATTTCCTTCCTCGACAGCCGACTTCCCTTCCCACGAGAGTCTTCAGCTGAACTACGATCCACCCCAGCCGACTCTTTCGGAGCTACACTATCGCCACCCTCAGACCGTGCACTATTATGCTCCTCAGAAGAACTCTCCATTCGACTATCAGTTTGCCGAGGCGGTTTCCTTTCCTTTTCGAGTGACTCCTTGTGAGTTGGACTCTCAGCCGGCGCAACGAACTCCTCCTTAGGAGTCGTTTCAGCTCGCCTAGACGGCTGTTTCTCGCTAGACGAACTCTTCAATTGGCTTTGGTCCCGTCTAGATGACTCCATCGGCCGAGGACTGCGTTCTGTTTTCTTCAATTGTTCTCCCGACTGCTGACTTCTGGATGTATTAGGGGCCGAGTCGCGTCCTAAAAACACGTAATACCGTCAGGAAATCCACGCTCAATCATATCCTTATTAATATATTTATCTCTATAGTATATTATAATGTAATCCTAATAAGGGGATATATATAAATCTATTGTGTATAATTATAAGTAATATTAATAATAAGATATATTTATATTATATAATCCTGTATATTATATTACGATCAAAAGGGATGACAATAAATCGGCATCTCATTCAGTCCTCCACTACCCCTTTGCTCACTATCGGCCACCCGTGGAGTGCCGCTCTTAACAGCCGAGTCGGCCAAAGCTGTCAGCTCATCGATATCCACCTTCCGTGACTGGATTTTCTTCTGTCGAGCCTCCATGATTCTACAAACAACACAGATTTCCAACTCTACCACATAAATAGGGTATTTCCATTCTCTACTCACGCACGAACATGCATACCACCATACATGAACTTCGAAAACCGACGGATAAGAGACTGAGTTCACCCATAGGTTCTCTTTAGTAGTATTACTATGAAAGATATCAATTTCTGAGCCAAAACGTCACACAGCGGGCGAGCTACACTACTCTGCAGAGAAATTCACACAACAGGCCAATGGCTTCCACTACCTCGCCTCGTCATCATCCTCATATAAATCGCCGCTCTGCACCGCAGGAGGATCGGAGGGCGGTGTAGTGTCACCACCGCTCTTTCGCGTCACATCCGCCTGACACGCGAATCTGCTTAGTCATCCATAGAAATTCCAAATGCCAATCAGCTTCTCTAATCTATCGGGAGCCTTCTCCAATTCATCATAGGCATAAAACGCCTCTCCAGCAACGAGGATGAGCTCACATATATTCCCTACGGCATGTATACTGATACCCTCCCCTCCTACTACGTTTTCTTCCTCGGAAGTTTTACCCAGGCGGTCACAACAACCACCTTCGCTCGAAAAGAGGTTACCCATACCACCACAGAGGCATACACAAAATAACCAAACTTTTCAGCACCGCCGCTTAGACGCAACCACAAAACATGTTCCCATAAACGACATGACACGGAACGCAACTCCCAGCGCCCAAGAAACGTAGGAATAATCGGGCTCAGCCAGTCTCTGATAACGTGCTCGGCGGGTTGCTCACAGCATCAGGTGCCACCGATGAGTCCCCCAGCGATGGTGTAGGGGCTGTCGGGGACCCAGGCCAGGATTGGTCGAATACAGCGTCCAGCGGCTCGCGGTCGAGCAGAAGCATCGCCTCGCAGTGGTACGTGTGAGGGAACATATCAACTGGCACCTGCACAAGGGGCGACCAGTAGTGCAAACGCTGAATACGAATCCGGGTAAATTACAATAATTTTCGGCACGAGAATTCCGCCCTCTTCCTTCATGCCTTCTTGCCCGCCTGCCGCAGTATAATCAGCTTCCGGCCTAGAATACGTCATTTGCACGCATGCACACAAAGATACCGCTCTCATTACTTCGTAAGTTGTATAACATCTCGGCTCAGTGTATCCGGATTGCACGATACATAGACAATTCTCGTTATGAACGAGCACCGCCTCAAGCATCGAAGTACCTGTGTGAGGAACACCTACATTTCTGTGAGCCGCGACTCCACTTCTGAGCCACCTTCGAATATGATGATAACACTGAGCACCTCTTTATGGAGTTCAAGCAACAAGCTACGATAATTACTATGATAACGATAGTAGTTGTAATAGCTATTACAACAATTATATTTCAGCCTCATTTTTATGAGGCTCAATAATAATATACAATAATGCAGTTTCACCCGTTTTACGTGAAGTGGCGTAAAACTCGATATTCGCGGTATGCAGCAGTCGTGAAATATGTTTTTCACTACTGTTTTTCATATCACGGGTGAAACTCCAATAATATACAATAATAATTCCTGCCTCATTTTATGACAGAACGAATATCCAGTCATGCTGAGTTCGACCTGCCTACATTCGGATGCAGTCCTGACCTTGGCGGGTCTACTATAACCGTCAACTTCTGACCTCCCTGGATATCCGAGCATGCTTCCTTGATCACATCTTCGATGGTCTCCTCGGCTCTTCCTACACCGAAACTCAGTCTTGCACGCATGCACAAATCGAGAAGCCAAGTTCGATTCCCACACCCGACAACTAACCTGCAATGAACCTCACTGAGCTGTCCAACTTGTTAGCCCTAGCCGACGCCTTGGCATCCTCTACAGCATCCGGGACGAGCTCCAGACCATACACCCGAGGCTTTCCATCGGGTTTAGGCCCCAGGATGCTGGCGAAAACCTGAAATGCTGTTACACACGGAAACTGTGTGACGGAAACAGCAATACGAATAACTCTGTGAAAGTGTTACTAATTATGTTATAAATATGGTTATGATTATGCTCATTACCATAACGCATGTGACAATAGTCAGAGTTATGGTATACACCATATGGGTATACTTTATTTATCTCTATGTAAAATCGTATTAAACATATTTATAGATTCATAAGGCACTATTACCATACACTCACTATACAATGGAGTTTCACCCGTGATATGAAAACACTAGTGAAAAACGTATTTCCCGACTACTGCATACCGCAAGCATCGCGTTTTTCGCCGAGTCTTACGCCACTTCACGTAAAACGAGCGAAACATTCGCTCACTACTGTCGAAGCCATCGGAATCTCAACGGCATGTGACCAGTCCTACCTGAGTTATAGTTCCCACCCCTGAACATACATCGACTACTGCTGCCGGCATTTTAGCCGAATCCAGTTCCTCCAATTTTGGTAAATCGTCCCCATCTGGAGACCCAGTGAGAGCTAGGCGTACCTACTCCACTTCATGTCTATTCCAATAGGAAGCTGCGTCTTCTATTCCATCACGTTAGCGAATGCATATAAATCCAACCATCGATTGAAAATCAGTTCATGATGAAGGGACGACAATTTTTGGATTCTCTCATAAAGTCCTTCTCTTCACTATTTCGGATTGAAAGCAGAGTAGACTACTGCGAATTCGTTTCCTCCCAAACTCACTGCCATTGTATACAGTTTCTTGCACATAACCACGTTCGTCTGGAAAAAGGATGCAGGTTGCAATGGGAACTCCAGGCCCAGCATATCCATCATCACTCTCGTGTCACCATATATCTACCACAACCAGCGAACGTTACTCGACAACCTTATTCGCAACTCTGATGAAGTGCCGAAATTTAATGGCATATACACTATGGGGGAACGCGAAATGTGTTACATATAGTTTTCTCTATCTCATATTTTTCTATCGTGCACAGATTACACGCAAAACAAAGAAGGCGTTGGTATTACATGATGAAGATCTTCAGCCTTCATATCGCATGCATCACAAACTCCATTATTAGTCTGCATGAAGACGGAACTCACCGGCACCTGAGAACACGCGACAATAAACAACCAAAGGAGAGTTTTACTACGACTCCAATTTCAGTGAAGAACTTAATATCGACACGCTGCTTAGAAATCCGCACGATTATGAGTGCTGGGTTTCTCGCTCGCCCTCGTATACCATAAATGGTTTCGATTGGCTATATGATAACTAGTTACTTTACATATGCCCTGTTAAAGTTTCAGCTCGAAAATCTTAACAACTGCAAATCTCACACCACAGTATCATTACTATTCTTCAGCGAAAACTATATTCCTCAACAAGAAACGCTGAATTTGAATTTGCCCGAGAAAAAAAGACGCCCCTCAATACTACCGGTAGACTCTTATTAGCAGCACTCTCAGCCCACGTCTTGATGATGTTGGTGGCCAACTCGTAAGGCTCACAGCACATAACGACCATCAGCATTTGATCGCGAGATGGTGACCATCGTAGCATTACTTGACGCCAAGTGCCTTTCTCTGAAAACCAAGGACGACTCGCGCGATCAATAGACCATCAGAAAATAGGATTCGAATTCTCTACCAGAAACGTAAGAGGAGTTCCCCCTATACTACTCTGATGCCTAGAGAACGGCTTCACCTGATCGTAATTTTCCAGTACCAGTTTTCTCAGCTCTCCTTCGATCGCCTTCATACATGCAGGAATCTGACATCGCAATCACACATCAATCTCACAGACCCAAATTTAAAGCCGAAAATTCCCATTGAATGCTCGTGAGCGACCACCAGCAGTAGAAACTGAAGACCACTACGCTCAATGCACAGTGCTACTACATGCGGTAGCGCCTTCCCAGACTCAATTAGTAGCTCGTGTCCTTCCACTCGCCGTACGAAACCAACCTCAGGCTTGCTACCTGCAACACGAAGCAGTTATCCGAAACAATTCTGCAGACTACCAAGAAAGAGAGATCGAAAGTTCACAGATAATCGCGACTCAAGTCCAAGTGCTTCAACATTCAACTCAACTCTACACTATCTAGAAGGGTTTCGGCTATTCTACTTTATAAACTCACACAATCTCAAATGCATATTCCAAACGAAGCCTGATGAATCCATTCCACCAACATCACTCCATCGACTTCTCCGCATCGCACGAGGCGAGCGTTAGCAACACGAGAATGATAAAAGAATTTCACACCATCGTAGACATCCTATATGTGGCCAAGTTGAATTTGAGTGCTGCTGCGCTCCACCATATGCTTTCAGAAGCCGGACCGTGAACTGTTGAAACATAACGCGAAACATTTTCACGCCTTCGAAAGGCGAGATGAGTCTCAAAGCCTCCGATATGCGCCCGGGATGCTCAAGACGCCCTATCTGTGATCGGTTTGAATTTGAACGCTCCTACGGTTCACCACATGCGAACCAAGTCAGAAGGTAAAGCAGTGGAACCACGAATCACCACTTAGACGAGAATCGCGCTTTTCAAAGTTGAGATGCCTGCCGTTAGCGTGACGAAGAGTAGACCGCTATGCGCCAGGAATGTTCAGGACTGTAAATTCGAACACTTACATTGGAAATCTGAATATCCAATCGTGAATTCACACTTGTTGCGGTATCCCTCCAGATTCGTCTCCGGACTTCCCACTATCTCATGGACTGTGCAACCAGGCTTATTCTTATGAACCTATCAACGATAACATCATCTTGAAAACCCATCGAAACTAAAAGAAATCATTTCGATGAGCTTCTACTACTACTACTACTACTACTACTACTACTACAGTAGTACTACTACTACTACTACTACTACTACTACTACTACTACTACTACTACTACTACTACTACCCTAGCCCAATTAGGAAACGGGTACTGCCTCTTCTCGCAGTGTGCTTTAACCTGAGTCACAATAGTATTCACCCACTGCACCATTTAGTGCTCCCATTCCAACTTTCAATATGTGATGCCACTTCAAAGCGATAACGAAATAGCCACGATATGACACTATCGAAGTTGCGACCCGGCGGAAGACCAGCAGAACGACGATTTGCAATTTTTCCGAGTACATGCCTATTCGTTACTCATTAGCACGAATACTATTTGACTAGTATAACCACCGAGGGCCGCTGGAGTCTAGAAATTCCAAAAATACTATCACTGGTGAACCGAAGAACGCCAAGCACGTGGTGCTACTACCGACTACCTCCCTCGTGAAGTTCCTGGCAGCATGCATGATGAACTGCTCCTTCAACCGCAACTGCTCAGCATATGAATATGTGAACAACGGCGCGCTCTTCTCTAGGAGAGTTTCTAAAGAGAAAAATGTAAAGACAAATCGCAACATCAACTCTATGACAATCGCAGAGCTCGAATCCCCGCAAACAGTGTCCCACGAGCGAAGCGATGAAACTTCGTAATGTGAGAATTCGCTCCCCAGATTCCCTAGAAATTTCTCGAAAGTGAAGGTGAATTGTTCGTCCAATTGAATTACAATGAGCGACTCAAGGAGTGAAAAATGGGGAAAAAATTTTTTCCGATACCAAAATTTCCAACTTACTATCCTTCTCGTATTTCGCCTTCTCCCGCATTTCCTTCAAAGTTATGTTCTCCATCCTCCTCTTCTTCCTCAAAGCCGCTCTCTCTTCAGTTTCACACCGCGCCTTGCGAGTTCTCTTACTTTTATCGCCGCCATAGAAATCATGTATGTCCAATTCGGCGCCTTTGAACTTCAGCTCAGCAATCTAACATGAAATTTTATTGATATAATTGAACGATATATATTCCATCAATGCTATTGTGACCAGTCGAACGCACATCGTCATCACGAAGACGCGCCAAGTCATCTCAACTCAAGAGTGAGAGAACAGCCACTAGATATCATTATCGAATTACATCATTCTTGAATTGGGCAGTGTCCGCAGCACTCTTGAACTTGACGAAAACGTAACGCGCCTTGCCAGTTGCTGCATCGAGAGTATCTACACCACAATTAGACGCATAGCGCTGTTCATCAACTCTTACGATGTTCGTGAACCGTACACGCCCTATGTAAATTCTAGTCGAGGAAAGACCAACTCCCGAAAAAGCCCATAAGTATAATCGCGCACGTCGATGTCGAGTGCTTGGGAGAGTTATTCGATTTGCATCTAGAGGTTTTAGAAACCCGAAGAGCTCATCATACGCTTGCCAAAAATATAGTGAAAAATGTACGGTGAAGTGAGCATTCCGACTCTGCAAACTGTCTGAAGGCTCAACACGCACTTAATCGTCCACGGATGAAATACGGTTTTTCCCGATAGCACTTCATCAGGTTTTCGCGAGGAAAGTTCATTCGGAAACTAAAAACCGACTCGGGAAACAATTCCAAAATTTTTTCCCCAAAAAAGTTCAGCACGAGCGCTCCAATGGTTACATTCAACATTGGATTTCACTTCACTATTGAACCACTCCGTTTTCGCCTTTTCTCCGATGTTGTTGAACTTCTTGCAAAATATTTGCAGTTTTAAAACATCCCCTTGCCGCTGCGGTGCCTGATAAGTGTATCTTCAACTTCAGAGTGCAAGATACGAAACAGGTCCGATTTTGGCCACCCTGATTACATTCGAATCTTCGACAGAGGTGGGCGCCTCTGAGGACTTCACAGACTGGGGCTCGGACATCGAAATAGAAGTAGGGAACAGAAGTCGCGATAATTCGAACTGTGAAATCTTACAAAATCTTGCTCTCTTGCATTTCCTCAACGTTTTCCTTGCACTCCTGCACAATCACTCTTTGTGTGTAGTCGTTTTATCATGCCCTCTGACAATAAGAAGGTTACTGACGAATCGGTTGAGGAGCCGGTCGCTGGCTTCGACGAGGCAGATGAGTTTGAGGAGTTCGAACAGGAAGGTACTGCTTCCTGTGTGTAGGCAAAAGCTATGCTCCAACATAGAGCTCAGGCGCTCTCCAGTTGAGATGTGCATAAATTCGATATATATTCAGAGATTATTGTTTCGAATTTGATTCTCGTCGACCATGCTCAACTCTTTGTTGTGAAGGAATATTCTTCCATTGTGACTTTGATTCAGATTGGACTATTCGTGGTCACCGAGCATCTACTGATCTCAGTGGAGCAGCGCCCGATGCTACTCAGTGGGAAACCAAGTGGGACGAGGCTGGCTGGGATGAGGAGGTAGGCTTGAACTGGATTGTGTATCTATCTCTCTCGAAATATTGAAAATCGTTGAGAGCATGAATGATTGTTGAGCGAAGCGGCGATGGAATCGCCAACACTTAGGAGCATCCAGTCATTGGTTCGCCATATGGAGGAGTTCGTTGAGGTTTTATGAGGAGCCTTTACATGTCGAATTTACAGCGTTTGAGTTCTCTGTTGATACCCTCAGAGCTAGTCTCTCTTTGGAGTGTTGGGGTCGTAAATGGAATTTGGTTTTTCCACGGCACTTTCGAGACTTAACTCAGCATAGCGACCGTTCAGAGATGTTAATATTCCTTTTCATGCCTTTATCTTATTTAGGGCTAACGGTTGGTGATCTTGAGTAGTACAACTTAGAATTTACAAGTGCTTTCTGGTCGTATTAGTGAATGTGTTGATGTATGTGTTGAACTATTCGCGTATAATCTATCCGCACAATGTGGCGTACATAGTGGTTTTTTTGGAAGGGATGGATCTCGGAGTTTTTTTATTCAGGACCCCGACGATTCCTTCCAGCAGCGACTGAAGGCCGAGATAGAGAAAGCAAAAGCTCAAAAGTGATGAAAACTATAGTTCACTTTTCGGCGATTGTGAGGTTCTTAGTTGAAGTGCACTTAATATAACGAGTGTTCGTTGATTTTACGTGAGGTTGACTCAGTTGTGGTATCTCGTGTGAATGGAAGGATCGTACAAGGCCGTCGTGGGCGGTGCTGATGCCTCGCCAGATGCATCCACAGTCTCAGGGTGCGCTACAGGACCTTACTCTGCCGCCTCAAGCTGGTCGTCGTCCGCACACTCTATTGTTGACAATCCTCATGAAGAGGTAGGTTGACGGCTGCTCTGAGTGAAATCCGACACGGGAAACTCGGCGGCTGCTCGTTGAGCGGAGTCCCTCTTGAGAGAGGGCTACTTCAACTTAGAATCTATATCATCTAGTTGGGGAAATATAAATTCTAGTTGGATTCGCGCTTATTGGATATCTCCTCTGTGCGTTTCGCGTGAATCAGTAAGGTGGATGCTAGGGGTCAGTCGAGATCTTGTTGCTCTCAGCCGGTGTGTCACGATCAAGTCCCTAAAACGCCGAGACCAGCATATAAGAATCCAATTGTGAGGAAATTAAAAGTAAGCCTTTCGTCTCGTCTTCTGATAGCACCTCTTTGTATCGAGGGTCGTTCGCCTTACTGTGGTTCGGATTTCATGAACTTGCTTGCGTTGCTAGTCGTGGAGTGGTTTCTAGATAGATTGAGTTCCAAGGTGTTGACCCCACGTTGTAGCCTCTCAGGTGTTTGTTGGTGGATTACCTCAAGGCCTACAAGAAAGTGATTTGAGAGAATATTTTAATAATTTTGGCGATGATGTTGTCGAGGTTGAGATCAAAATGGACAAGGTCAGACTCCACGTCGCAAAAGGAGCGCGGACTATTTGTGTGTGAAAAATGAAGTTCATTTGAAATCAGCGTGTCGAAGATAGTCGCCTCGCCAGTGCCTCTGTGATTTTGAATAAAGTCACTGCGGTGTCGCATTTAAAGTAGAGTGCACGAGTTGGATGCTAGTCGGAATCTATGATTATTATTATGGATTATGGATTATCATTTTATTATGGAATTATATCAGCAGGTCACTGGTCGCTCGCGCGGCTTCGGCTTTGTCACTTTGATGAACGGAGATTCGACCAGACTTTTTAATAACAAGCACAGAATCAAGAACAAGGACATTGATGTCGATGAAGTAGGGCCGCGGGGATCGAACCTGCGACCTCGCGCATGATAGTCTACCAGGTTACCGAGACGAAGATTTTCGTCGGCGGTCTGAACCCAGCAACGGGAGAGCAAGCCGTTGTTGACTATTTTTCCAAGTAAGGCTTCTTGTTAACTTTTGTGATGAATACTGTATCTCTGTTGGGAGTATCACTGACACGTTCATTGGGTGGCTGTGATTTTTGAAAAATTGATTGCTATTCTAGCAGTAAGTCGAAGCTTGTGAGGCGCCTTGGGGAAAGATTTCGGTTGAGTATGTAGTTGATACAACAATTATAGTGACAGATCTGGATCTGTTTCGAATCTTGAAACGATAAGATTCAGTGTTGTGCACATTTTTCATGTTCTAAGGTATGGTGCGATTGTGAACTGTGAGCTCGCCTTCGACTACGCGGGAATGTCCAGAGGCTTTGCTTTTGTTATCTTCGAGGATGCGGAAGCTGTCCATGTAGGGAATTCTCCGATCCTAGCGGAGCGATGCATATTTTCATCAGAGAACTCTCGACGCCTGTCCCTCGGGCCACACGATAGAGGATCGAATGGTGGATGTACGAAGAGCTGAACCTCGCAAGAAGCTTCCGGTGAGTGCTTAGGCTGTCCCCGTTCTCTTTTCTGGTCGCTATAGGGACTAGTTCACCACATATTTTATGATCATGAATATTCTCGTAACTGTTGTTATAACAAGCGATAATAGAATTAAAGCTTTCTACGGGATCCGATGAACCACTTTCTTCTCAACTCGGAATCACCTCGGTATTTGTTCGCTATACGGTGTCACGTTTCAGAATGGTCAATCGCTTTCACAGAACATGTTCGGCGTGCCGGATCTGCGTCAAGGAGGTCCGATTCGAAACGGATCGGCACAACACCCTCCGGCAGGGCTCACGTAAGTCACTTGGCATATGAGCTGATATTTGTGGTGAAAGTTTTGCTATTGTGTTCATACCGTTTACGAGTCATGAAGTGATTGACCCGTCGGGCGAAGTTGATTTGTAGTGGTCTCTCGTCGGAGGATTTGTGCAACTTGTGGCAATCATATCTTTCGAGCTTACCACTCCACGTCGAACTCTGTGATCCTCTATGGTCGCGGTATTCAGGGGCACCTTCCTGGCCGTGAATGGCCTGTCGCCGACAAGCACATCCTCTTCTACTACCTGCGGGTCTCCGACGGCCACGCCCTTCGTATTGGAGGGGCGAGATGGGGCTCCGGTTCAGAGGTAGGGGCATTGAAAGCTCGATTATGATGAGTGTCATGGTGCCAGTTATGACCCCCCATTTGGGGTTGTTGGACCCCACTCTGGATATGGTGGTTATGGAGGGCAGAGGAAATCCGCTTCTACCAAGATCAAGCTGGCTGGTCCACCTGGGTGAGTATTGCTGACCATCTGTGTTTCGTGGTATCTGAATATATAAAGAATTAAGAACAGTGCATCAAACGCTTCATATTCCGATCCCCTCTCACGCATTGCCCTGTAGTATAACACTGTGCTCTACTCGTATAGTTGAGCGGTATTACGGTGCTCTGTGGAACGTAGAGGAAATGCATGTAGTTGTGCTTCACATTTGATTTGCATGAACGTACTCGTTATCATCCGCCAACACAGAGGAGCACCCTCCATCCTGATCGATTGGTTTGTGTCAGGTACGGATATGAAAACGGTAGTGGGTATGGACAGTCATGCCTAGGAGGAAACGAGTAAGTTGTATTTAGTAGAAATTCAGTGTAGCGGCTACTTGTTATGATTGACAACTGATGATCATGTTCGCTTTCGGTGTTCTTCTAGTTGACTTGATCGTTTAAAGAAGTTCCGAAACCGCCCTTCCTTGCACTATCGATTGCTCAATTTTATGGTACCGTGCGATAGGTACACTGGAGCGTGCCGATTTCCCCTCCTCTCAATGGACGCATCCCCGGTGAGGTCGAACCCCATGACCTTTGCTAGCGCGCCTTACTAACCTCGTGATGCTCTCCGGGTCCACCCGGAAGCCTCTGTCGCTCAGGTTTTGCTCGATTGTCCCCATAGTTTCGAGTGAGATTGTGAGCATCTAAATTGACTTATCGTTTCAGTTGTGAAGTCTCGTTATATTGGATGGTGTATTTGCTCGTCACATTTAAGCCTGTTCGCACTGTCCTATTCTTTAACGTAGAACCGTTTCCCGATCAATCGTTTCCGCGTCCCCGAGTTGTCTCAAATTTTTTTCTCTATTTGAGTAATAGATCTTCTGAATTGCGTGTCGAGGTCAATTACTACCCGGTTTACACACGGAATTCACATGTTTACGAAGTGGCGAATGCATTGAATATAATAGGTGAGAACGCAACACACTGATGATGATAAAGTACATCGTTGGTATGTTATCATCACGTTGCAGCAAGCAAGTTGCTTGGCAAGAGCTTAAGCCCTACTTGTATGATTATGCATGAATAGGCATAAGCTGCGTCGGCTTTTTAGCTTTCAATGCTGCAAGCACAGACGGATCGATTTCAGAATTGGGCTGGCATGTCAAATCGTACACTGGTCCTCCGCAAAGGTCGACAATCCCGTACCTGGCAAGTTACAATCTCGCAGTTTCCAAACTAGCGTTAACGATCCGCATGCTTACACTCGTTGTGATCTCATCCGTCTGAGTAGTGATGCGTCCATCTCGTCACTGACGAAGACGGCCCAGTGGTTTACCAGCACACAGATACGGTCGCCGATGAGAATCTATAGTAGGAAGGAATGGTAAAGCGAAACGATCTGGATCGGTCTCTTCTCACAAGTTCAACTTCATCGCCAACTTCTGGCAGTAGCGACTCCTCCAGTTTCCTCCACTGCCGACCGTCGTAGAAGGTTGTGTACAACGTGCGTCGTTGACTAGTGTTCACCTTATTTCTACTGGAACTGCTGAAGTTGTATCCAAAGAGACAAATATCTGAAAAATGACCATGTGAAACGTACATATCATTATGAACGAGTGACAAGGCACAGCGTTGTGATTGGACCCCTACTTTTCTTTCCGGGTATCTCATGAAAGTCGTCTCGTGTAGAGAATCCGATGCCGAACATTCCATGGTGACCATCATCCGTGGGAAAACTTTGTACACCTCTCACCGAAACTTTGAAAGACCTACACGGTTGAATAAGTCACTGACAACGATTATCAGTAATCATTATCATTATCATGATCTCGAGTTATCAGTCGAGATTCTCGACTGTGGAGAGCCCCATTCACCTGTAGACGTCTTGACCGTTGCGTCCGCCAATTAGCTCTGCCAAGGGAGCGTGTGTCACTGCCCATGATACTCCACAAGGATCATCGCAGGGCAGTCGGTGTCCAGGAGCCCTCAGAAACACCCTCTGGCCTTGACAGCGGATCGCGCTTGAAGCCCTGATGACAAACACTACATACGAAAACCGTTGAACTCGTCGTTGAGAGTTGTTCTGATAAGGAAGAATTTTGTTACTGGGAGGATGTTATGTATTGTTTCATGTTTTTGGTATTATAAACCATTGGGGTTCCACCCGTTTAACGTGAAGTGGTGTAATACTGCATGCCAACTATAAGACGTATATGTTTCCGCGACCGATAACACCATTGTTTTCCGCCAAGTGAAATATGCTTTTCACTAGTGTTTCTCATTTCACGGGTGAAACTCCATTATATGTTTTCATTCTGTTTTGTCATACATTTCGTGTTCCCTAGAGGACCCTTGGAAAGGCTCATGGGGTATGTACAATACCAGTAAGGATATTTTACGTCGGCTATCCTCAACCAAAACTCACCCTCGCATCATTTTCCGGTCTCCACGTGGTTCGCTGCTAAAGCTTGTCACAGACGACACGCTACTACTGCTGTAGCTGCTCTCCTGGAGAAAGTCCATCGACTTCTGGAAGACTTTGGCCGCCGATATGGGCACATCTGGTGCTCGAGGATGCGTTGTGGCAGACCTATACACAAGTGAAGTATCACTAGTGGGATACTTTCCATTACCTCGTCATCAGCAATGAGTGCCTCGGTTCAGGACTTTCGCCCGAAATCACAGAATCGCGGCTGTATGTGGTGTTACTCAGTGTGTGGACACCGTGCTCTCCAACACCTCGTCCCACACCGGGTTCAACCGAGAGTGTGCTAAGACTATTTTCGCCCCCAAGGACTTCCTCAGGAATAACGGGACAAGCATCGCCCAGCTTCGCTCCGCCAGAGAGTTTAAATTTTCTGAATTCTTCCCAGCCACGTACTCTTTCCCTCAAAGTTAGCCATTTCCCCTCAGACATACGTAGACTGAGTCTGAGCGTTGACCTCCCGACCACTTCCAGAAAGATACCCAAAGATCCTCGCGCACTCGCTAGATTATACCGCCTTACATCGAGACCAGCGGTGTCGGACACTACTAGCTTCGTGTCTCTCGTGTTTATCGTGAAGGTCCGGTTTCCAAGTAATAAAGCGTGGCTCGCATCGCCCGAAAGCATCCACAACAAGGAAAAAAATTTTCCACGGCTGATGGGTCCGAGTTTAGACCTTTTCCCTATGGGAGGCAGCACTGAAATGACCGATGGTGTGCTGCAGTAGACTCTTCCGCGCCCCCGCAGCCGCAGCTCGCCGACGGGCTTGGCGTTTCCATCAGTATGAAGACGCCACAAGCCAGAGTTTATAGAAACCAGACAACATGTCCCTACCGGGAATCGAACCCGCATCTCCCCGCCTTCCAATGTTGCCTTCAGTACAAGATTCTCATGGCGTCTCACGACAAATTGCTTCATACCATCCCCGGCTAAAATCTCTCTGAATTTGATCCACTGTCTCCAGCCTCGGAAATAAGACTGTATTCTTATGGCAGCCCTCCGAATCCTCCAAAGTCTCTGTATAAAAGTGAGCGCCCACTCCAGTCGTTTTGCTAGCATTTGCGATATTCTAGACCGGACTTGACCCCCTCTATGAACGGCCTGGATCAATTTCGCTGCTCGAATTCTCCTCCGCGCTCGCGTTAGGAGCATCTTAGCTCCAGTAGCTGCTACTGTAAGCGCTCGGAACCTCCGACGGCGTCTTGCACGGACGTTTAGGATTCGACGCACTACTATTCCACGGAAGACAGCCTGGAGTTTCACAGCAGCTTCCGTGCGTCTCCAACGCTCTCGCCATACTTCGACATCGTTTCCACCCCGGAGAGATTTCCGGGAGGCGTGATTCGATGTTGTTCGCTCTTTTTCTAACGCGGGAACTAACCCCAACCTGGCACGGTTCCTCAACAATCGCAGCGGCGAGCGGCTCCTCTCGGGGGAGGTTTTTCTCTCTCTGCTTTTGTGTTTCCGTCGCGAAGACCGATCTGACGCTTCGCGAGAGCGAGAAGTTTCCAACGACTCGACGAGCTCTTCAGCGGTTACGTCCGATTTGAGCCTCGATTTTCCCTTTGAGGACTCTTTTCTCGGCTTTCGCCGACCTCGGCTTTCTTCAACTGTGACATGCAGTGTCGTCGGAGGAGCAAAGTGGACGCGGCTCATAAGTTTAGAACTGAGAGCACTTCAGAAATGCCACTTCTTCGGCAAGCAACTTCCTCTCGCAGTTCGGAAATCGGTGCATACGCGTGCGCCCAACTAATCGATATCGGTGCTCGTGTTGAAATTTGAAGGGCAACTTCGGGCCTCGAAGTTCGAGGCTGGGTCATCGTATCGGTGAAGGCGCTCGAACGCCCTGAGATCCTTAAAATAACAATTTCGATCCAAGAGGTAAGATCAAAATCCTGGGTCGGATCTGGAAATTAGATTCCCCGGGCTCGGAGTATTCACTTGGGATTCATAAGGGGCTGAGGCTGAATGGCTCGCTTCCATACGTGGTACGTAGAATATGGGATATAGCGGCTAGTAGACCCACCACTGCTCCAGCACAATAGGAGCAGCTCCAGGAAGGAGTTACGTCTTAGACCAGCACCCGAAATGGTTCCTGAATGGGTCTTCCTTGTAACTTGATAGTCAAGATGACATCGGTCACGTCAGACTGTGCTTCGAAGGTGGTCACTTCCGCCCGCCTTTTCCTCTGGAGCATTGTCGTCATCGGAACATGTAAGCTGTTTTCTGGTTCTTCCCACTGGAAAGCAGCTTGCTCAGGTTCCCTCTTGTTACGGCCTGCCAGATGGTACTTCCTTCCCTCCGACTCCACGATTGCTCTCGAGACCAATCTTTCGGAAGAACCCATTAGCAGGGGTTGCGCCAAATATTTCCCATCTTATCGGTTCGCTGCTACCAAGCCCAACTTCACATGCCCGTTCCACGACGTTGTTCGGGGCATGATTGGAGACAACATTCTATGTGGCGGATTTCCACAGACCTTGAATCACTCGATAGCATACATTCCTCCTGATCCGGACACTTTCTGCAATCTAGAACCGATACCCCCGATGTGCCTTGAGGAATCCTTCCGCCTTGTGAAGAGCCGAGACCGCGCTTCTGATGCTCCCAGCTTCGAGGACGACGAGTATACGCCTTTCATGGAGTACCAGAGCGATAGGTGTGCAGCAAAGACGGTCGAGGTCATGGATTTATCGCAGATATAGATTCGCCTTGCACGTGCTTGAGCACATCGGGTGTGGCCTCAGGTGTGTGTTTGAGCCCGAATATACTGACCGTCACCGACCATAAACAGATATTGGATCGTACAAGGAAACGCGATTTCTATCATACGCCACGGCGCGTTTTTCGGCCACATGCCGAAAGGGAAATGGGACTTGGTTGACTCAGACTTGGACATCAATATCGTACTGCCCAAAGCTAAAACGACGGGTAGTGGAAAATTCAACAGATCGTTCCAGTGGTGATCGGTGAGCAGGATTGACGTTACGGCACGTGTTTAATCACCTCCAACATAGCGGGGGACGCATAAGCTGTAACGGAAAGGGCTTTTCTGAGAAGACCGTGTGAGCTTTAACCGGCTTTCGGCGCATACTCATCATCACTAGCTTCGTGCGAGGTAGCCATTGCTGGGTGCTCTGTCCGAAGGGTCCGAAAGAGTATGGTTTGACGCAGCCGTGGAAACACCTGTCGGGCGGCAAGGAATGCCTTATTGCGGAAAACTGCGCCGCTGATTCTGACAAGAACTGTGGAGCGGTTGAGCTCAAGTGGGGATGCCCTGACTTGTGGACTCCAGTTTTGCTCATGTTTCAGACTCGTACGGGACGCGGCGGTTTTGGAGGACGTCTTCCCACTACATCGGGTTTGGTCCGGTTTGCCTCCAAGGCAGGAATACCCGGTGTGGGTGGCTAACAACATAATTCGCGACGCGAAAGCTCGATCCACTCTTGTTGGGTCGTCTTGCTTGCCCTTGCACGACAAGCCTCTGAACGTGAGCTCATTCTCAAGGCTCGGGCTCTTCGTGACGAAGCATGTTTCGTATTCGCTTCCAAAACGATAGAGATAGCACGCCAGTGAATTGCAATATAGAGAAGGCAATGTTCAAGAGCGTAAATGACGGCGTGTTGTTGGCAACTAGTGTGCACACAACCCTGCTCCTATTTCCGATCTTCAGGGACCATCCAACATGCCTGCTTTGGCCAGGAAGCACTGCAATAGGTATGAACAACGGCTCGGGCCTGAAAAGTACAATGCACGGTGCGAGCGAGCTCCGCGTTTGAGTACAGAGGAGCTCAGTGAATTGGTTGTCCGCGCTGAGCGATTGAATAAGCGAGGAATGCCGAGTTTCTGGGATGCATTCGTGGCGATGCTTACGACGAAGCAGTTCGGAGGATGCGCGAAACAAATGCCTGACCAGCTGCCTGACCTGGGGAAACTGCAACTGTGAGATCTATGTCTTGGACATGATGGGGACTGAGCGCGACAACTTCTTCCATATCGTGCCGAGCTTCTCGTCCCAGGTTCGACTCGCGTGCAACACGGAGTAAAGCAGTTGATAGCAACTCGTCGCGTTCCGACGTTGAGCTCTCTTGGATCGATGAGAAACCATTGGTTTAGACGACATTATATTTCTATCATGTTTTCTCAATGATCGAGTGTACTACTTGATGTCCTCGTCCGCTTGCGTTATACGAGTAAGAGTCGCAGTATGCCATACTGAGTATGGGTGAAGAATCTGCATCCGACGTACAGCTACGGCGAACATAAGAAATGTTTGCCTCCTAGGAAAGGTAGCCCAAGCTAGGATATGGACTTTTCGAGTCTGGAAGATGATGCGTCTGGTCGAGGAGGAGTTTTCCTTCGTCGAAGAATCTCATTTGAACTTGGAATCTAACGTTGTTGTTCGTTATGTTACGACTTTTGGAATGTTTGCGATACTCTTCCGTGATCCTACGAAGTTGCTCTTCAGTAGGTGTACGTGGAAATAGGATAACACATCGTACTCAATAACTCTCGGATCGCACTAGTAACCTGTAGTTACATTAATGTCAGCTTTCTATATGTCGCTAGGCACACTGATCTTTCGTCTACGTTGTACCTCACTCTCGGAGTATTATAATAACTTGTCGTCATCTTTGGGTGTTCCCCGACTTTTACCCACCCGCGTTTGTGTGAATGCACTCTCCATACTGAAATGTTACATTCAAGTTTGACACGATCAAAAGTAAGTTAGACACGGTTGAAAACGTTTCATCCAACTTTGAGAATACATGCTCAACTTTGACTCCTGGTTGGTTAATCTGAACTAAATTGCCGAACCCCATGGAGTATGCAGCGCTACGAGATGCATCGACAACATTCTGAGATGCCTTGAAATGTGATCAGTTTTGAAATATTCCAAACGGGTTGATGGCCAGCAAAATCGATATCATTCGAGCACTTCAGATAATTATACTCATCCGTATCAAGGACGAACCCAGCCACTCGTAGGCCCCCCACTGCAACACAAATCACCACCGCGAACTAGAGTAGGCGACCCAACTACATCCTATTAGAAATCTTTACGATCTCACAGGCGATTGGCAGTATGCAATGCGATAGAAAGGAATGCCGATGCATAAGGAGTAACCAGCTCGCTTCGAAACCAGATAGAGCATCAAACTCCGACTACATTCGGGACGTAAGGCAGTTCTAACGATTTCCATAATGAGAAAGACTGTGCAAGCCCAAATGGCTCCCATTCTGGGCATAAAATTGCACAGCGTACTTGCAATGAGCACAGCACTCCAGATACATCTAGTAGAGAACCAGATGCTGTGATTAGATATCGTCAGCAGATAGATGAACGCTCAACGTATAATGTACAACGTCATGTCCAGAAAAGACGGAGTGAGCAAAGTGGGCTTGACGCCACAGATACAACCACGGACAGCGATACCTTCCATCAAGCTAACAGAATGAGTATTCACAATGCAGCTCATCGAAGTCAGAGAAGAATAGTACCATACAAGGAGAGAACAAAACCATACAAAAAATAACTTCAGAATATCCATCAACTCTTAGTGAGCCATAGGGCACTTGCTTTCTTCTTGTACGGGAGGCAAGTCAAAGCCTGCAATGTGCGGGGCAGTGTGAGAGACCTTCACCTCGGACTCCGTGCGGTTGCGAAACAACCTCATAGGACATTCACCATGTTGAGGGCCTTCTTCAGCGCGGTTCTCGGTGAAGGGGCCATAGGCTGCCATGAAGACACAGAGGCCGTGGATATAAGGCTCCACAAACTCCCGAGGTAGGTTGAACTCCTCACAAGCCTTGAACTGCATACGAAGCCAACGATTTCGCTGTGCCTGAGTGAACCCAGCTCCAACGTAACCAGCCTCCTTAGGAGCCGTTGCACGGTGAGGGCAGTGTTGGGCCTTCTTATGCATAGTGTTGATCATCCTGGTACCACCACGCTTAGTCATTTCATCATCAAGACCAAGAGCAGTGAATATCCAGCGACAGAACATCATGTAGTGAGGTTCCTCTTTGTCCTCGTACAAGCAACCGAGAATGGGGTCTTCAAACGACAACTCATAGAATCTTTTCGCAACCATGAGCACAGCCTCTCGACCTCCCACGCGGTCGGCCAAATCAGCAGGGAAAAGACGCATTACCATACTGAAGAAAAGAAAGATAGACCTATGATGTAATCAACCAGTGTGAAGTGATAGCGGAGAGGCTTGTTGACAATGAGCATTCGCGGGTGCTGCATGACGTACGCATGCGTTCAATCTTGCCAATCTTGCGAACTTGAGGCTATTTTAGTGAGGCGTCACGTGTCTAGACAGGGGCCTTTTTCACAAGGAAAGCTCCTTAAGGTGCGCCTTGATTTCAGGAGCAAGGGGCAAGGAGCCTTCACCTAACCGTACTCCTATCCCGCAGATCGTAAGGATGTGACAGCGCCGTGCAATGAAAGCGTGAGGAACCTCGCAATTATCGCTCCTATACTGAGATCACTGCCGTTGATCTCAATGTGTAGGGAAGAGAATTGAGGCGTGTGCGTGACCACGCGTCATAAGGCAAATGAATGCGGATATGATAACAGAGTGATGCTCATGGACTAGGACTCGCACTAATCACTACATTAATGAGATCGGGCATCTCTATTAGAGATCATCAGGTAGCTGACAGCTACGCCCCGAATAGTGAGTCTCCAGCGAAGCCAGTCGGCCGTTCATTGTTTCTCACGACCGTTACTCACGATCATTGCTCACAATCGTTATCTGTTGAAATTTTTTAACTGTTGGGAAGTTTCTAGGGTAGAGCTGATTGGCATATAGCTGGCTTGAGTACCCTGTTCAGCTTATGTGCCTTCATCCTCGCTGCATATTTTGCTCCATAACGTCTGTTCGGCGACCCTGACTCTGGTGTAACAGGCCATGTTGCGCTTAAAAATGGTGAAACAAGGCGTAGGAGAAATCCTTTTCCGGGCTCAATATAGTTTATGACTGGAAATCGAGGGTCCACAGATCACATTCGAGTCGTTCGAATAGTCATTCTGTATATCGAATAGAATGTTATTAAGGTTTTAGGTTTTATAAGTCTATGGGGCGCTAGATAGTATGGGCCTTGACCGCATGAACTACGGGTGTTGGGCTAGTGAGAGGAATTCCCATTAGTTCCAGTTGAAGCGAGTGGTTCATTATATGAAACACTGCGAATCACGCCATACATAGGACGTCGGTATCGACTGTAACGACGTGAGCTGTGTGTTAGAAGATGTATGTGTTTAATGCACGTTCGATCATCGATGTATCCTCTTCACACATACTAGCACTTCTTCGTGGCGATCGATGCGGGTAGAATATTTCGTGACGTGAACATGCTAGTTGTGTCTGTTCGTCTCTGTTCACAATGGAGGCCGTTAAAGATGCCCAGACCGTTCTGCTCGGATACGAAAAGGACGAGAGGTTCAAGTCCAGCGGCAAGTCAGGCGATGTTGAGCTGTCCGTTCGTCCCCCTACTGCTACCGAACGGCAGGTCGTATGCGGCAAGATGAGCTTTGGTAAGGACTATTCTATCCAACAGATCATGCAGTTTATCAATGATCTCACGGTTAAGGGGACCTGGGACAGTCAATTCCAGGATGGCAAGATACTAGAGACCTATATGAAATCGGACTCGCAGGAGTTCCTGCTGTGCTGGGCCGCTTACAAGAAGCAGTTGGGTGTATCGGGGCGTGACTTCGTGTATGAAGTTCTCACTGAAATGCTCTCTCCTACTCTTGGTGTTATCGCTACTCGCTCGGTGGAGAAGGCAGAATATCCGGAGCATAAGTTTTTGGACACTCATTGCAGAGGCTTCATCCACAATGCTGGGTATATCATTCATGATGTCGAGGGAGAGAAGATGGTATCCTATTATAATCAGGTGGATTTGAGAGGTTTGATACCGACTTGGATCGTGAACAAAGTTCAGATTCAACAGCCTACTAGTCTAAAAGACACCTACAAGGCCCTCAGACAGTACAAGTTTAGCTCCCTCTAAAGCCTAGTTGTTGCACTGACATGTTCATCGATGTCAGAAGTCTCATCAATACTATGGGTTGAACTCCGTCTAGTAGGCATCGTCCTTAGTTTTTTCTGGGCAGCTCATAGCGTCATCCGTATTTGAGGTCGGCCACTTCTCTTGGGGTCATGTGCAACCTCGGCGTATTACATTGTCGAGAGGCGGCTATGCGTTTTTGATTTTATTGTGGGGACAAGCTGCATATATCTCTCGCGAAGCTAACTTCTTATGAGCTCAACGTCGTTGTGTTATCAAGTCTATTTGTCCCTGACTCCATTGAGAGTCCGGATTATACTCAAGTGAACATTTCAAGATAATGATCAATGATACACTCATGAAGTGACAAGTTTCACACGTGCTCTTTGAACTCCAAGATGACGAAGTGTACTCTCCATCACAACAGGGCTCGCGAGCATTATGTGGTACGTAGGACTAATCAGACTAGTCACCAAGTAGAGTGGGACGAGAAACTACATTGACTAAGGGATGCACATGAATGATAGTAATGTATCCATCCCGTGCGTTTTGGAACACTATGAACTGCTTGCAACTTCTTGAATGATTACTGGCAGCGTAGATGAGTAATTAACGATGGGAAGTTTTTGGAAACGTCCTGGATGCATTATGTTAATCTGAGGGATCGAGTTTCAGTTCCTTCAGATTCACCCGACGCCTACTTGTCAGCTCGAGCTTCTGTATTATAGTGCTTGACAGTTCTCGGAGAATGAATCGACGTACGAGATTGAGACTAGCTCCGCTCGCGAAGAGTCAGGAGTTAACTTTCGATCTCAGAACTCTCCATAGCAAGCACAGGTCAGCATCGCAAATGAATCATCAGTGAAGACCTCTTCGTCTGTGCGGATGTGCTCTCGAAGTCACACCGTGGAGAAGATGTGTTTCCCTCCAACTAATAACTCGACAGCTCTATTATGCAAAGAGTTAGACAGGCAATGATATCAAACACCTGCTGCGAATCCGATTGTTTTCAAAAAGGATGTGATACTTGAATTCACCGTGGCCGGGAATTCCTGCATAACCTAACAGTAGAGGGAAGCAATGGAGACACCCATCGTCAGTATAGTAGAAATTCTCACCTGATGACCAGCTCTTTCAATAACCTCGAGATTGTGACGAACTCCCCCCTTGGAGGCCTCTTCAAGCGAGGCTCGTGTGTACTCCACTGGGGTGGCCTGAGAGGCAGCCATCGCACGCGAACGCTTATCGAACAGATTCTCACCTTATCGAGTTCGCCAACGATGAAGAGGCCCTTGATCTGGCTTCCTTGATGGTTTGAGGGAATTAGTATGTCCGTTCCCCATTGAGTGTAGAAAGCCTTGTACATGTACACTGGATTCCTGGCACTGGCCTCCTTCTCTTGACGATATAAGTCAGGGCTTGCAGAAGGTCCAAGAAGAGCTGCTCGAAATTGGCGACCAACATATGGACGGATGAACCAAAGCCACCACCTAGGCTTGTCGAACTTGTTTCGAAGATGGGGGGCCCCGCGAGAGCTGAGCGTTTTGGCATTCGGCGAAGCGATACAGACGAAGCCAGATAACTTGAGAGTGTTCACCAGGTAACGATCCATGGATAGACCGAGGACAATCGCTGCCCCATAGGAATGACCGATGATGACACTTCCGGGAGTGGCGAACTTCTCGAGGAAGGCAACCACGTCGCTCTTGATCTGAGCAGTGTGGTAGGCCTTAGGGTCATCGGGCTTCTCGCTGGCTCCGCAACCGTAGAGATCTAGAGCTACCACCCGATGCCCTTGAGCGGTGAAGTGGTCTATTTGCGCCTCGAACTGTTGCATGCGTGCACAGCTTCCATGGATGAAGATGAGCGCCGGGCGACCGGTCGAGACAGGCAGGTTTTCATACACAGCAATGCGGCGACCTGGTCTGATCTCGACGAATCTTATGCAATCTTTGTGGCGGGCATAGAAACCGTCGACCAAGGCAGTGGCGGGACGGTCATAGAAGAGCCAGCGGGTCCATACGTGGTAGCCGAGCCTCAAGGCGATGACAGAGGCCAACCCACCAGCAACAACGGCACCAGCGGTCTTCAGCGCTTGCGGGGGTTGTGGTAGTTCTTTCAGAGAAGGTAACATCATCACGTAAACCTAACTAGCAGTTTCACCCCCTACCATATAATAACAGAGCCGTGACCGACTAACATCCCCTCTAAGACTGATGCTACTCAAAACTCATGAGACACAACGTTCATATCATTCGGAGCACGTCGTGCAAGATTTTTCTTTCACTTTGAAACTCTCATGCGATGACATCAAAGGCTCTTCGATGAGTAGAACAGCTTCACTCATCCCCTACCAGTGTCTAAGTAATGGAGAGCTGCGGAGAATAGCAGTCTAAGCACAGCCGTCCATGTGCTTAGCTAATACGGCCCTGCTGATGACGAGATCAGTGTCTTCCAAGTTGTACTTTGTCAAGATGAAATCTCCAAGCGGCGGAGCATCGTCAAACCAAGCAAACATGTACGTGTGGAACGCCGAGTGGTGAACGCATTTCCAACCTCCAGGTATTCGGTCGGCGTGAACATACCATAGATACCAGCAGCCACGGCAATACCAATGAAGTAGTGTAGGGTGGCAGCACCCAGCAGAATCATATACATGACTAGGCGCACCCAGTAGATACTCGGATACCTCGGTTGTTCTGGGAGTTCCTCATCAGAAGAGTGATGAACTGCTGCGTTTTGCTGCTCGGCCTGACGATAGCTCTAATCTCACTGCCATTCAAACGAGGAACACTGCTCGCATCGTCCCTGGGAAGTACTGCCTCATCTTTGTTTGCTTTTGTGTTATAACGCTCGACGAGTGCTTCGACATCGCCGTGACCAGGGAAGTTCATGACATGCTTGTCGGGGTTAGTGAGGGTCGGTACAGGATAACCGCGAAGTACTCCGGGACCTTATCCGGTTGGCCAAAGTACATGACGTTGCCCTGGACGAGGAGGCACACTTTGCTGAGCGAGAGCCATATGTTACCACTAGGCTGATGGATGGTCACGAGAATTGTGCACTTATCTTCAGTGGCTAGAATCTTCAAGTATTCCTTGATGTAGTAGGCCAAGGGTAGACACTCACGGCTCGGAAACTGGTGGAAACTCTGCGACGAGAAAATGTGAAGTCGGCATCGTTACTTCTGATGAAGTTCACAGTCAATGTTGTTGCGCGCTATTGCTCGACAATAGCGAGGATTAAGGTTACTGACGTGGTCGTAACGCGACACACGACTTGCGGTTCGACTTCACGGACTGGACTCGCCGTACGCACGCCCGTTCAAAGATGTAGAGCCAGGCTATGCCCAGACTAGGAATGACAACTATAATAGATGAGGTCCACGGTAGATGAGATGAAAAATATATTTGGTCTTGGGCTTAGGTCGTGCTGGTATCTCATCCTATAGATACGGTATCTGTATCCTGTTTACTTTTCATGTTGTGCGCGAGTGGGCGTGCGCGAATCGAGCTAGGCGGAGCGAAGCGATTCAGAATCAGTAATTTGGAGTAGCATTTTCTTCCTGTTAACGTCACCTTCAATTGTGATCAACTGTTCGGAGGGTATTCCTGCCGTATCCTAAGGGGCAAGGTAAATGAGTTGTTTGCCTTGACGCGAGAAAAACTTCGTAGGGTGGAGAAAATGCCGTGGAAATAGTACGATTACGCTGGGCTGTTCGTCTGAAGTGCGAACCTTGAATTGAAATTTCACTCGCTAGCTGGCATTCGTTCGTGATTGCCCAGCACCACCGGAGATGAAAATTCTTACATTGATTTCTCTAGATGCAGCTGTTTCGCTCCGCCGACGACCTGCCCGTTGAAAGCTCCGAGAAAGGTAGTTCGAGCCGAAGATAGAAACCACCGGCACGTAGCTATCGTCTACGTTATCATCGACCACACTAATGACATGGCCCCCACCTATAATGCCTCTAACCGACTAATGCTACGGAGATCTCCGTAGTCCATCGCCCAACTCAATATCGTTGTCTCACTGCATCGAGGGAAGTATTACAGCGAATTGGTCTTCCGTTCGGGGATCGATGGTCGCTTATACCGACTCGGACGTGAGGTTTCCACACCGGTATTGGGTCTAGCTCTGGAGATGGCTCGTCGGTACGATCAATTTAGCGACCTTTTCTCAACAGATAGCGGTCTAGTCTGGATTTCGTCATCGAAATGGGATGCACCTCGTCCAAGTCAAGCAACATGATCGTATTGGACCCTCTCCAACTAAAGAGGAGTCCCTCTGGTCATCATCTCCAATTTGAACTACCAACTTCACCTTCGGCCATTCATGGAGGGCCCATTATCGAGGAGCTCGCAAGGGAGGAGGCGTGTGGCTGTAAGGCCCACCAGCAGGTAATGAAGTCAGACTCTCTGATTAGCAGTCCCTGGGTGCGCCTAGTCGTATATTTCAGCCTGATGATTCTACAGCAGTGACTTCGTCTTCTTCGCAAGATGGCAGTGCGAACGGACAGGTAGTGATCTCATCGTGAAAACCGTGAATGAATATTTTTCTGTTTTGTGATGTGACGGTTGTCCAATATACTTTGAGTCAACGAAACGCCACTGATCTCATGTAGATCGTAAAATCAATAACAGCAAGTATATGTGATATTCAGTAGGAGCTGACTAGCATACTAGGTCGACGCTAGATGCACAGCTACATCACAATAATATGATTTTCTCTGTCTTCATGATACTACAATATTCCCAAACCCAGCAGATTCTTCTGAGCATACCTGATGACGACTTCATGGATTGTATATCTGTGGACACTGGTAGTGATACCAAGGTGAGAGGTTGGAGACCTCTCGATAGTAGAACATGCGATTCAGGTTGGTCCGCTGGTCCACCAGAAACTTGCAGAATTGGATGGGGTCTCTCGGGTAGTAGCGAGGTGGAGAGTAATAGTGTACTGTATGCTAGTCGAACGTTGGTATTGAACTGTGGGCAGTTGTATGAATTAGCACAAGGTCAGTTTCGACCATGTAACTCTCTCGTAAGTCTCTCTCTTGAGAGACTACTGCACCTTCGTCCTTGTGTGGGATGATCTATCGATCTTGAACTGAATCTAGGTCATGTTCGATGCGGCCCGCAGGGCTCAAGCAGAGATCCAGCACTACCTCACAGCAGAGGGAGAGAGTGAATTCGTATCGGTCGGCAAGGCGGGTCCAGTTGAACTCATGGCCAGACCGCCCCCTGTTGGGGAAAAATTCCAGGTAGTGGGAGGGCGTTTGGAAGAGGTGTCTACATATGAGATCATTAAGGCTGTGGTTTTGGTATCGGTCCTGTTTGGAGTGTCCGATACCTGAGAAATCTTTGATCGGATAAGTTGGGAGTTTTCGCTCTTCTGGGTGCGAATGCTCCAGGATTCCCAGTAGCTATGTAGTGTTAACTCCATAGTTGAAAACTCTGATGGTTAAAGAGTTGGGAGAAAAATCGCTTGCTGTAGATCAAATGGAAAGTGGGGACAATCTTTGTGTCGCAATGATTCTTTGCTTCTTTGCTAGATAGTGCACCTGTTTATCCGCTATTTTGGAAGAGTTTTTGATTTTTTATTTTGAAGGCGGAATTTTTTTCCAAATTGCTAATGCCTGAACTAGGCACGCAATAGCGGTCATGTTCATAGTGGCAGCGGCCGTAGGAGAACTCTGTGACGTTGTTGATCATCACGGCGAACATATTAGGGGTCGATCTCTTGAGCCCGGGATAGCAAGGGTCAAGTTTCAGGTTATGATGGGCCGCCGTTCATTCGGGCGTCGCGAGATTGACCTGAGTAAGCTGTTGGATACGCTGATGGATCCAACTGCATTGTCTAAGTACAACTCACATGCATCAGATGGTGCGTTAAGGTTATCGGCAGCGTGACAGGACTTTGACGAGATATTCGTCTTGTCGCTTTTCCCCTAGGTCGAATTCTGAGGAAGGGCCTGATTGATGAACCCGAACGGCGACTAGATCTACAGTACGCCACATTTAAAGGTACTGGGAGCGGCTCGATGAGCATTGGGATGTGCAGCAAAACAGGTATGTTCACTGTGGCAGCTAGAGACGCCGTGTATGCTATACTACGTGAAAGGATTCATGATAATCTGTGGATAGTTTCACGGCGATCAGTGGACATTCCAGGTGAGAATGATTCTCGTCTGCTCATGAGGAGGCTAAGGAGCCGTTCTATCGAGCACTCGTGTTGTTGAACTTGTGGTACCAACTACATAGCTGGCGTCGAGTATTGGTGCTCGGGTATGTGTGTACGTTGCACAGAAAGGGGTTAGGAATATCTCTGTCCAAGTCTGGAATAATTTTCTATCTTTTAGATTGTCCTTACCAGGACCCGCAACCCGGCTTAGTGAGGTGTGAGTTCTTATGCTATGGCTATGCGATAATGAGAGACCCGCAGACAGGAGAGCTCAGTGTTACTATGTTCAGCCAGGCTGATCCTGGTGGCAATGTGCGGAACATACCAACTTGGATAGCGAATAAAGGCCAGGTTGGTGTGTGGGTCGATCACGAGAGGGCATGTGGACTTGTTATTAGAGGGCACAACCAGCGAGCCTGAATCACTTATATAACCTTCTTAAAGCGGACCAGAGAGTAAGCTGTAGTGATCTCTGTGTAACGCGACTGGGACGATTGTCTTTGGTCGCTGGTCAAGGAAAGCACGGTTTGGGGATCCGAGGAGTTCCACTTGTTTAGGTCACTCCCTGATGGGTGTAGTTTGGTAGTACTTCCAATCGGCGGCCATGCGTGAACCGTGTGTAGTAGTCGTTGCAGCCGACCATTCGAAATCAGCAGAGGTTGTTGTGGCGGCTATTGCCTGGTATGAATTCTTTTTCCCCAAGTACAGTAAGTAGTGTACACTCGTCATGTGCTCTAACTGTACGTTGATGGTTTTGTTCTGTTCTGATTGATTTTTTCGGCATGAGGGTCACGTCTCTCGATTGAAACGGGATGTTGCGTTATGGGGTCTCGTAATTTGAAGGGTTTGATTTTAATGGATGATGTGGCGTGATGGTGAAGGTCGCTGCTATCATGGTTTAGGTATTGGGTTCAATCCCCGCAGTTGTTTCTACATAGCAGTAATCATTTGCTGTTCACTATCATAAAGAAATGGGATGCACCTCGTCCAAGTCAAGCAACATGATCGTATTGGACCCTCGCCAACTGAAGAGGAGTCCCTCTGGTCATCATCTCCAATTTGAACTACCAACTTCACCTTCGGCCATTCATGGAGGGCCGATTATCGAGGAGCTCTCAAGTGAAGAAGCGTCGCATGATTTCAATAAGCGACAAAAAAGGGTATTACGGGAACGGTATTGGATTTTTTTTTATTTGTGTTCCATTCTGATTACCGATACGTCGGTTGGCTATTATTTCTAGTCTATCGAATAGTAACCTACAAGGCTCTCAGTATTTTATCGGTCCACATATATTACTACTATATCATGATGATGGTTGTTCAATCGTTGCGATGCCCATGCTGATAGCGCTTGTCTTTTCTCTCAGCTACCATTGACAGAGCCGCCCACAACTGACACTTCACATGTCGAGGATGATGAGGTGCGGTCAGCATAGAAGGTCTATGGACTGCATATATTCTTCTGCTCTTGTCAGAGTCGGCTGATGCGGGTTAAATCGTGGCGAAGTGAGGATTTCGCAGACTGTGTTTCAGCGACTTCTGAATCACAGTTCAAAAATGGAGAAGTGGTGAGTGCATCTCGGGATTGGATTTCTAGTTGACATATGCTGCTTACGTGGTTCATGTTTGGGAGAGTTTGGTGACTCGTAGGTAACGCCGAAAGTGCTGCCTGCTATCCCCACTTTGGACCCCGCCACTCAGGTGAGGTCTATCGCTTGATTTTAAACGATGAGTTTCCATCTCTTCCAGAAACTGTTGAACGCCGCGATGGAATCACAAAAGAAGATTCTCTATTATCTTTCCCCAGAGGGCATGGGAGAGTTCAAGCCTAATGGCAAGGTCGGTCCAGTGGTGTTGATGGTCGTACCACAGACGAGCGATGCCCCGCAAGTAGTGTGAAGTATTTGCGATTTCTAGGCGACAGAGCGTGATCTTAGGTGGTGATGGGCTATCGATCATTCGGGTGCGGTGAAGTCGAATTACAAGACCTGCTGGATCTGCTGATGGATCCGTCCGCGAGGAAGAAGTTCGACAATCAAACTGCCGAAGGTAGGACTGGACGAGCGAGATTGATAACGAGAGAGGAGTGTTCTGTATGCAGGCAGACTATTGAGGAAGGCTATCATTGATGAGCCTGATAGACGACTTGATCTTCACTATGGTGCATTCAAAGGTAGTAGAGAATTCTCGCGAATCCTCTGCGGGAAACACAGTAGGGTCGAACGAGGAATTACATCGGCTGGGCGGCTCCTGTTTGATTCGTACGCCTATGTATCAATTTATTATTCGTCAATTCGTTCGACTTCGCCCCGAGTGGGCAGATTGAGATTCGTTCTTTTGTGCTTTAGGAATGATGAATGTGGGAGGTCGAGACTGCGTGTACGCTATTTTGCGACAGAAGATTCGAGATGACTTGTGGATCGTCTCTTCGAAGTCAGTGGAACTACCAGGTGAGCTTACATGACTCATTTTCATGCAGCTGACCTATTGAGCAGTGTGGGGAAATATTCGCATGGTTAGCTACTTGTGTTGGTGGCGAGAAGGAAATTCTGAGGAAAATTTGGGAAAATCTTGGTGGTTTCTGAAAACCCGAATTCGCGTATGAACTCCTCAAATTAGCTGAGGAAAGCGAGCATTTGTTCCAACCCTGCTATTGAGCACTCTTGTTATCTTCAGAATACCCGGAGAATGGCGTTCTCCCCGGATATGTCCGATGCGACGTTAAGTTTGCTGGATATGCGATGTCGACCGATGCCGACACTAAGGAGCTCACAGTGACGATGTACAACCAAGTAGATGTTAAGGGTAACATTCCCACTTGGATCGTCAATAAAGCTCAGGTAGGGTCCTCCTAGTGCCATCAGTCGTACTCGATCCGCTCTTGTTTCAGAATAAACAGCCCGGGTGTTTGAATGATATGTACAAGCTTCTCAAGAACTAGCGATCAGTCCTCATAACGGGGAACTTCACCACGAATTTCTTATCGTTTTCCCTAGATGACGCTCTCGTAGGGTCATCAGTACCATTGCGCCCTTTTTCGCGGGAGACTCGCCATGTAAGACGTTCTGCGGCGAAACTTGTGCGGATAAAGCTTTATTCATATGCGGTCTTAGCGTTGGGTCTGACCGCCAGCCTCTTTGCATAACGCAGCGACGTCGTACCGTCCACTTCCTTCTTCTTGTGGATCTTGCGTTTGGATAGTGGAAGGCTCGAGATCGACTTGGAAGACGAGCATGCTCAGCACGACTTCAGTTCACATTATGTACATGATTTCAGAGGAGTGCATTTCGGCAGATATGAAAATCTCCGCCCGAATATTTGCAGTTGGGACTGTGAGACTTAGTCTTTCGACTCTGTTATTTCAGTGTTTGGTTGAAACCCGAAACCCAAAAGTGCACACAGACAGCACCTTAGTGTTGAGCGCCGTAGATGGGCTTCAGCGGGCGCCATAGAAGCTCACTCATTCTGTTTCCTACATGCTTCCTCTTCGCCGAGGGTTTATGCATTACTGAGCCCTACGTGGTAACTCCAAGTTCTTCTTCATCTTGTCAGTCTCATTTGTCCTATGGCTCGCTTACGACAAGGCACTCGCTTCTTGGGCCTCATCATCGGGGTCGCTCTATGCGTACTCAACTCTTCGTTATTTGTTCAGCCCAGTACGCAAGCTTCAACAGCAGCCAACGCTGCGTTGGTTGGGTCTGTCCGAGGTGGGAATCTGCGCCATTCTGCGATCGCGTCCAGCCTTCAAACGTCATTCTCACCCTATTTGTCGGGTCTGGCCATAGCCGCAGTCGGTCTGGGCCTTATCATGTTTACTCGGGCCGTTGGCCGGAAGGCACTACCCGAGAGATATCAGCTGATGGACGCCGGTACTGGCGAGCACAGATCGTTTTGGCATGATGTGAGTCTCTCCTACAGGAAACTCCACTCGGGGCATTTTCCTCCGATCCCGTGATATGCATATATCAGATACCCCTCCGTGGAAGCGAAGGGAAGTTCATGTTTGTGACGGAGATACCGCGAGGAATGCTCGCTCGGTACGAGCTGGAGCCGGACACGTCAGATATTGCCAATGATCCTCGTGGGACCACGGCGTTGAAGAAGTGACGACCTGTTACTGACGACCGAATGCCTTCCAGACATTTTCTATCAGGTTGGGAGAAGGACCATGCTTCAATTACGGATTTCTACCACAGACGTGGTCGGATCCCATAGACTGGCATGACAAAATCACTGGCCTCAAGGGTGATGGCGATCCACTCGACCTCATAGAGATTTCGGGTACGACTCTTCTGTGGTCTTCGTCGCTTGAACATAGCCTTAGGTAAACATTTCAGTCCGGGTGAGGTAGCTCAAGTACAAGTGCTCGGAGCCGTGTGCTTGATTGACGAGGTACGTTGCATTCCGAATACTTTCGCTTCGTGCATTTTTTGCGACAGGGAGCAGCGGATTGGAAACTAATCGGGACAGCGTGCTGCAAAGCTCTCACAGATGAGGAAGTAGCACGAGAAATGGAGAAGGTCAAGGCATGGATGGATGGCTATAAGGCGCTCTTCGCTAAGGAACCCACACGTAAGGAAATGGTAGAGTTCAGTGACCGAGTATTGGACATGCTTCAGAGTGGTATCTCAACGGCATGATTTTCGATCGCACAATAGCGTTAGACTTGATCGACCAGCAGAACAAGGTGTGGTTAAAGAAGAAGGGCTTGAAGGCCAGTAAAGCAACATCGAAGAATTACAAAGTCGTGACGAAATAATTGTGTTTCTACCGAAAAAAGAGATAGTTTAGTTCTCTGGAGTCAATGTTGACAAGTATCATCAGTCGAATGTATGTTATTCTCCATGCTGTGCACAGCTGTGCAGGAGCCAATTAAAGTGCTAAGCCTTTCCGGGTTCCAAGTCCACGGCGACAAATCCGGGTTCCACATCCAAGGGTCGGTTTTCCCATCCACGCTCCATTAAAGTGATGCTACTCGGAAAGGTCGACTTTCTGGGCAAATTTTCCAAGACGTTTTCCCGGGCGAGGTTCATCGAATTAAATTAGCAATGTGGAAAATGAACCCCAGCTTGGAAAAAGTTCGGTGCTTGGAAAACGCAACCGCTCGCACGCTGCGTGCGGCATGCCCGAAACTCACACAATGTACTCATACTCGACTTAGTCGAGCCGACTAATAACATTTAACTACTTACTAAGGCCGCAAGGCCGCAAGAATTGAGCATATCAAGCAAACTAGATTGTACGACCTGTCTTGCGCTAAGTTCCTTCAAGGGACTTCCTTGCCGACTTAGGCCATCATCAGAGGATTGACGAGAGCACTGAGGGTAGGGAATGAGGTGAGTTTGTTATAAGTAACGTGTTGGTAAAGGTCATGTTGATGAAGGATCGTTTTTGTTCAATATTCTCGTAGTTTATCGAGTTATTAGTGCACTTGGAAAAAAGGGGCTGCGCTTCGGAGTCGCGCGACTGATGGAAAAATGACCTTCCTCCGGAACATGGAAATCGCGCACTTTAATCCGCGCTCGCGTGGAAGTGTCCACTTGGATTGGAAACAGGACTCTGCGCGTGGATCCAAGTACTTGGAGATATCCCCTTGGACAGTGCTTCACTTTAATAGACGTTTTTTCTCCATGTTTGGAAAGGACTTCTTTCCCTCCACTTGGACTTGGGAAAGTAGGCACTTTAATTGGCTCCAGAACTAATCACTCAATAATGGTCTGATCACACAGTGCAACATTCCTCATTATCAACCAACGTTACTGTCCATATAGAGTGTGTTACTATCGTGTTCGAGGAAGGTTACTCCCATGGGATAAATGACTAATGAGCCACTAATGAATTTCTGTGGTTTCAAGCGGTCTAAAAAAGGAGAATGATGGCGTCGAAGTAAAAGTTCTCATTGAACCTCATCGACCATATCCCGTGAAACTCGGCGAACTTGGCGAAGAAACCCACCGTCAACTTGCCCAACACATTCTGTATGTTCATAGAAATGAGTTCAATACTTGGAGGAGCATTTGAGCTCCAACGACAACGCCAGGAGCAAACTACTCATGTTCGCTTCTCTTGGGTTGTAAAGTATTATAATGTTGATAATTGACCGGTTGTAATAAGTTGGAATATCGAAGGAATTGTTCAAGTACCATAAACAAGACTATGACAGTTATGGACGGAAATGATAACAAGTCAAGATACCTTACATAATCGATAAGACTCTGACCACAGAAGGCAGCCGATCCGTGACAACCTATTTTTAGGACTTTATAGCAAGCTCATCCAACCACGCGAGATGACTTGCAAAAAAAACTATTCTTCACAGCGAACAGCATCGAATCCTCACACGGCTCGGAACTTAGCCAACAGTTTCCTCCAATACGAGCCAGAGAACCCGACACCAAAGATGATATGTTGAACCATGATGTAAAGAACTAGAATTATCGTCATAACAACCCGGAATGACACTGGATAGACATTATTGGGCCCATCATATCCCAACGTAGAGATTGCCGGAGATTCCCAGGGATAGCGCTCCAAAGCTATCTCGGAACCCGGACCGGTAGGCCTGCAGTCAGCCTCGGGTAGTGGAGACCAACTACTGAGCTCCGGGGCTGCTTCTTGATATGTGTGGATCTGGGGCCCCAGGAAACAACCACCAACCGATCCTACTGAGTATTGTTCGATGATAGGCAGACCGGCTGTTTCAAGAGAGGCACCTGTGTCGCAGTTTATGCGGAACACACAGGAGAGATCTCCTGGCTCAACCCAAAGTAGACTGAAGAGCAAGACGTTGACGATTAGATACATCGCATTCAGAGCCCAGTTCCTGAGAACACTCTTCCTGAAAGCTCCTCCATATGAGGAAACATAGGCATGTGTGCTGAGTGTTGTGAGCATGAGGAAGACTTGGATAGGCATATCGTAATTGTCACCTTTCTTCGCCCACTCTTGTGGCGGCACTTGAAGGTCGAGGGTGTTAACACGGCTATACCAATCTCTGTTAGAAGATGACCACAGAAAAGCGAATGCCACAATTTCCGCGAGGAAGAAAGTGATGATAGGGAAGGTACACAACAGGATGGTTCTCCAACCAAGGAGAGATCCACTAGGGCGATAATCAGCGAGCTTCCCCGCCGGACCAGAAAGCGTCATCGTCCACACCATGATGACGCTGATCAGGACATCTTGCGATATCCAGAACCACTCCGCCGGCACCTGATTTGCTATGATAGTACCGGCAACCCGAGAACTGGTCAGAATGAATGCATATACGATGAAAAAAGAGTAAGTCGCGATGTTGGTAGCAAGACACGCGCGACCTTCACGAATCATATCAACAACCGTAAAGAGGGAGCGACCATCACGACCAGAGCTGAATGGTGACACCATAGAGGCTTCAGCGTCAGATAGAGCCATACCGGCATGGGCAGCACGGAGAGCGCCACAGTCGTTACCGCCATCACCACACATACCAACAACCAGCTTGCGAGACTGGAGATACTTCGTCACGTTAACCTTGTCCTCAGGTTTCATACGGGCGAACACCGATATGTCCTCCCAGAGGCAATCGAGCTCACAAGGGTTCCTTGCCAAATACTTCCATGCAGATCCAGTTACCGCCAATTGGTCAACACCAGTCTCCACATCTGAGCACCGCTCGTTCGTCTCAGTGTCAACCCAATACAGCGCGTCCATCTTCTGATCATAGTCTCCTATTAGAACTCGACCAACCTTAGTTTTCCCGATTATACCGCATTCCCTGGCGATAGCGATGCCAGTCAAGACATTATCGCCAGTGCACATGACGTTGCGGATGTTTCCAGCAGTCAATGCCTCAATCGCAGCTGGCGAATCGGGCTTCATTTCATTGCGGAACAGAAGTAGTCCGCACATCGATAGATCGAATTCAAACGAGTCCCTTTTGGCCGATATGATTTGCTCGTCCGTCAAGGAGCTGTCCAAACTCTTAGTGGCCATTGCCAACGTGTAGAAGTTATCAGATGCACAGCCCTCAGAGACTTCCACGTAGTCGTGGGGAAGAGTGTCGGGTAAGGACAGGGCGGCCACACGTTCATACGAGCCCTTGATGATGACAATAACCTCACCGGTCGACAGGTCTCTGACGACGGCTCCAGATGTCATTCTGTGGTGGTCGAAGTCGAGTTTCTTCAAGACCTTCAGCTTATGCTCACCCTTCGGTGACGTAATGATATTGTCCGTACTCTCCGCATCCGGCGCTGGAAGAGACCATCCAGTCATAGTCAGCATCGACACTTCAACGTGGTTCCCAACCAACGTTCCGTCACGGAGAGTGGTCACAGTGTGGCAGCAGGCAAGACCATATTGCATTCTCAGAGGGACTTGCTCGGATATCACAGATCTGTTCCTTTCGTCGAGAGGAGGCAGGTCCGGCTCGAACTGAATCTTGCCCAAGAAAGTTCTTCTCGAGGGATCAACGGCAACCACCGCCGCGAAGTCCATACCGTCCTTCGTGATCGTACCAGTCTTGTCGAACACCATCGTTGAGATCTTGCCGGCAACGGGAATCCTACCCGGTTGGAGACATGATATCTGATGATGCTTCTCCAGCCTGAAGGCCGCCACTGACTGGCCCATCACGATAGAGACGGGCAGCATGGGGTTCATCGTCTGAGCGACGGTACTCAGAATTTGCAGCACAGTGACCACCCAGGAACCCAGATTTGTCGTGGTCAGGTACAGAACGATGATGAGTACAGCATACAGAGCTAGCATGCCGTACACAATTGGGAGCTGATCAGTGTATTTGAACCTAGGAAAAAGAACACCAATACGGACTGGTCATAACGGTACAATTACTATGCAAGAACTACCATTTCCATGCCAGTTCACAATCACAAAACTAGTATTCGACAACATGGTTCTGTGTTGATCAATGTACACGAATGTGAGAGCTGAAACCAGCTGGCCAAGTCCCACTATCTATAATTCTAGGCACGAGCCCACTTAGGAACAGCCAAAGGGACTACCTGACAGACTGTGGGAAGAGTACCATTCGGATGAGTTGTCCCTTGGTCGTGAGAGCTCCGACACTGGTTGCCATCAGAATGGCACGACCATCGTGTGGGCCCGTCGACTGCATACACATGGTGCCTACATGAAATTCAAGAATCGCATGGGTAGAGCCTCTTACCCGCATAGGCTGTATTCTTCTTGGTGATCTCGGCATCGTCAATGTCATCCACGGAGAACTTCTGTATGGGCATGGGCTCACCAGTGAGCATGGACTCGTTGACGATTACAGATCCCTCCACGACAACCCCGTCGCAAGGGAGAGGTTCACGTTCCTCTACTTTCAGCAAGTCGCCGAGAACCACACCATGGGAACCGATTTCAACCCACTTCCCTGATCTCAGAACTTGCACCCGAGTCTCGAGCTTGGCCAAGGTAGCGATCTTCTTCTGGCCTCTCCTCACGATGAACAGGGCTCGATAGGTCCCCGCAATGAGCGTCATGGCGAGCCATATTATACCGATGTTCCATGTCGTGAAGACGATATACGTCCACGCCGCGATAGACTGCAGTATATAGAGAACATCGCTGAACTCGGAGGCCAGACTCTCAATGATCCCAGGGACTCTCACCCTGATCTCGTTCGGACCCGTTTCCTCGAGCTCGAGCGTGGCCTCCTCGTGACTCATACCACCCTCCCTCAACCGCTGGTGCATTTCAGAAGCTGTCCACTCTCCCATGCCGACAGGACGGAATCGACCGACATCAGTATCAAATACATATCTAACGCACATGTACTCATAGCATCTAACCCTGAGCATTTCGTCGTATTCAACTTCGACCATCGTCTTGCGGGTTGCGCTTCTGAACCTTGTACGTAGTCTGTCCCACAGGACTGACACGTAACGATTGAAAGCGGGTATGTCCTCGTCGGAAGCCATCCCCGGATCGATCATCTCCTTCGAGTCCACCGCAGGAGGTACAGCTTCCTCGATAACCACATTCGTAGCATCGCTGAGATGTGGCTCAGGTACCATAAACAGCGTAACGAGTGAGTGATAGAATTTAGATAGCACACCAGCCAGCACGTGAAAGACGACCATAGAATAGATTGCAGGTATAACAACTCCGTCCCAGTCAGTTCGCCAGTTCGAGAGGAGTGTAGGGAAATAGGAAAATGAGCTGAAGATGACGATGGCGAGATATGCCAGACCCAGAAGGACAAGCCAAGCATGGAGCATGATGGTTCCAATGATGGTTTTCTTGTAGCCAGTCTGGATGAAGAATCTCTCGACCTCATCAGGGCTGTGGAATGACAGACGACGGGAACCGGACGACTTGTACTTGGTCTTGACGGATCGAGTGACTTGTATAGAACGATAGATCAAAAAGATCGCAGATACGAGGAGCAGGCAGCAAAGGACACAAGTCCAAATGACGGCGGCGCTTGCTCCGAATTCCATTTTCGAATAGATGATGCGATAATATTGATGAACTGAAGCACAAGGGGATTCTAGTATAAAGCCTGTTACCCCGGGAGAGAACGTTCGGACATCGAACGATTGGCATCACTAAATAGCCCCCTAAACGCCGGATTGAACATCAGCTAATTTTGCACGCGTGCTCATGATGTGCATGCGTGCGACTGTCATACGGCGCTAGCAATTGTTCTTGCGGCGTCACCCCATCTGGCCTTGAAGTGAATAGGTTCACTGGCGAGTTGAAAATCGCCAAGGATGTTCCGAGGCCCTCAAAGCGATCCGATCCGTGACATAGAGACGTTGCAACTTCCTAGATTCCCGTCCACTCCACATCGGCAAAAACGGCGAACCACGATCGCGAGGTCTCTAACCTCTGTCAACATTCGAGTCCGGCGACCGTTAACCATCATAGCGTATAATTGACCGGATTGGCCAGGAACCATACTCCATCATATTCAGTCTGTTCGACTAAGTCTGATGTCTCCATTGTCTACGACAAGGGCAAGCAAGTTGTCTCCCCTTTGATCATCCTCTTGTATTGAACGAAGAATGAGGAAATATAACTCCATACACGCCTCATCGAGCGCTCATAATCATTGGTGGATTATTCAAAGCTGGACGTGGAGCTACAATGACAGATTTCGAGGATTAGGGGGAGAGTGATATGCGGAATCGCGAGTTCAACTGCAGGTGACGACGATCAACTCAAGTGGCAATAAATGCCTAACTGCTCAGAGAAGTCTTATGGGGTGACTAAAACAGTCACAATCGCGTGAAAAACACATTGGAAGTTCCAATGTGTTTTTCCAATTCGGAACTTTTGATTGACGTAGTTGAGGAAAGCTGGTTATGTTCAATATGGATTGTGTAGTATAATGAGACACCCCCAGAAAGTCCCAGTATATGGTACCAGGTTATGGTCAAGACATTCGAAGTCGTGTGAGACTAGGAGTGGTCTTGGAGAGAACCAGAAGTCAAGAATATCAGCCATGCCATACTCTAATTGGGAACACGCAACTACACCATTGCAATTAAGCACCTCCACAAATCAACACGTCAATGAGGATATGACACAATCCACAATACTCACTCTATGCCGAGATAGTTCGAAGCCAGCAGAACTTCCAGCGCTATACTTTCATCCATTCCAAAGTCGGGGATCGGCTCCTGACAGTAAACGGTTACGAATTTGAAGCTCGTTCAGCTCGTTCTATTCCGTGAGACACTTGTGTGCAAGGAGTAGAACGAGAAGTATGGATAGCTAACGTATGGGGGATAACTATCGCGGACTACTACGAAACCAGGGCCTTGTACCGTACTACTTCAGAGTCAGTGTATTTGTGCAGATAATAGAGGTAATCGACAATGCAAGAAAGTACTTCGCCTCGTATAGTGGGAAGATTGATAATGCCATCGTCACTCTCGGCGAAGGTCCCCGGACCTGTATGAGACGAACCATCAGGTGAGGGACTATTCTCTGACGCCTAGTGTCTTTTCAAAACGTGAAAAGCGGGAAAGTGTAGAAAGCTCCACCACAACTCAGTGGTGAGCGAGTGAGTTCAGAAAGTTCTTTTTCCTCAACTCACCTTGAACCATCGCTTTGATTGTTGGAGCTTGGCAGGCTATTTCCTTGTCGAGACGAAATTCCTTGCCGTCCGAACTAAAAAGAAAGAGGAGCTTGAAGAAATGGGTAGCTGGAGATCGTAGATGCTGCACTGGCATAACATACGCCTC